CCTACTTTCCTACCAACAACTGACTAGGCTTGTCAAAGTAATTATCTTCCTTTTGTAAGATATATGGACATGATCTCTATAACTGGTTGAACTTGATTTTGTCAATGACAACAATGCTTCCAATAAGATGCCAAAATCATCAGCAGTGTTTTTACTAACATTACACAAGACATGAGTATTGCGCAGCCAATGGGCATTTTTGTTCACAAAGACAAATAGATCCTTACAAGTAGAGGAACCTTCATTGTTTTCAGGAAGGGTGAGGCTACAGTATGTAGTTGTTAAATGATTCACAGAAACCCTAAATATAAAACTATTATTGGAGTGCAATTTACCTTAAAAATTGGATAGCAACTTTGTCTCCTTTACGCTTTACGTAAACCAATGTGAGTTATCAGGCATACAACTGACCAGGCCTTTGACCTGGTATATACCAAGATCCCAACAGCCTAAAAGACACAAATGCTGTCTTCTACAGTCCTGACGTTATGGGTTAATTCTTGGAGGTTCTTATGTAAGTCTGATGTGTTAGCGGAGCTCTAGCCTAAAGACAGCACCTGTGGCCTCATTCCATACTGCTCACATACTGGCTGAATGGCAGACTGACACCATGTTAAGACTGGGGCAATGTCAGTTGGTGTGTGTGTGTGTGTGTGTGTGTGTGTGTGTGTGTGTGTGTGTGTGTGTGTGTGTGTGTGTGTGTGTGTGTGTGTGTGTGTGTGTGTGTATCATGTTTCAGACAAGGTGGGCAGCTACACACAGAACAGGGCACAGACAGTCTGCGAGCTGTTTTGAGCGCCTGCTCCTTATTAAGCCACCGCCCCACTGTACATCCAGCCCGACTGACCCCAATAACTGCTGCCATGCTGAACGAGTGACAGATAATTACTCCGCTTTTGTAGGGAATAATTCAACCCATTAAGAACTTTTTTTCCTGATTTGCCTCAAAGCACTTGAATAACAGGAGGAGAAAGCCTTCTCTCGGATTCCTCCGTCAGGTTAACAAAAGTATTCAAAACTAAACCAAAGGTAACACTAACCAGGTGAACCCCCTCTCCTCTTCTTCTCCTCCATTAACCTTTGCTGCCCTCCGTACCCTGGGGACTGGACCAGTTCACAGCTGCGTGTGAGCGTCACTCACTTAGCCGCTGCCTGAAGGCCATTAGCAGGAAGGCCTGTCATCTCCGGAGGGGGTGCTGGGCTCAGGCTGTCCCGGTGCTCTGACAGGTCTGCTGAGCTCTAGGTGAGATCCTCTCCCCATGCTGATGGACGCGCTCAAACAGCCCAAACTGCCTTTACCCCTAACCTGAGTGACAGCTCCGAACACCTTATCCTCTCACTCTGAGAGCTGAGACCTCACCTCCTCGGGCAATACTGACACACATGCACACCTTATGCACAATGAGCACATTCCTCGTGTCAATATGTGTTGTGTAAGCCGCTTTAGGAAGGGTCCGTTTCAAAATAACAGATAACTGGTGGGTGCTGTGGAGACCGAGCTCACCACAGGGTATTTTCCATGTGTTGTTCTTTAGCCTTTAAACACCAGTTTACACCCACTGTACAGCAAAAAGCATTCATCAAGACTTGTTTTTCGTATTTTCCTGCCAATGGTGGAGGAATGGTTCTACTTTTTTTTTGTTTAAATGAGTTCCAATAACTTAAACCAAGCTAGGGAGAGGAAACATTTCTTTACCGGATATATAACAAATGCTACTAAAACTAGAACTACTCTCGGGAAGATTCGCCCAAGGACATTGGTGCATTCACTTGCTCCTCCATTTCAGAGTTTGTAAGTTATTATTTTGACTTGTGTGGAAACAACATGGATGCTACAAAGAAGATGTATTTTATAGTTCAGAGCGTTGAGATATCACATTCCTAGTTACCTAATTGTCATCTTGAGGGGCGTTCATGTACATTTTCTGACTCGGGATCTCCTCTAGCTGCCTCTATAAGCTGATTATAGACGTGCACTTTTTGAGTTGACCAACTACAATTTCCCACGATCTTTAAAGGCCAATCACCTTACTGCTGTCAAACTTTAAATCGATTCTCCTCTCTCCAACCGTCAGCTGTCATCTCAGGTGGAAACGCTGGGAGGCCTCTTCGACCCCATTCCAATACTTGTTAAAGTTGAAATATTTGACAATGAGGTCCTATACTCAAAGACTATTCTCATTTCTATCAGCTTATCCATATCTATAAATATGATTTAATCAAAAATAAGTCCCTTGTGATTGAGATGCCACCGACTGATTTTGTGCTTGTTCCAAGAAATGTATATCTTATGAGTCATAAATATACTGCAGTGCAAACACTGCAGCAAGCCTAAGAACCCTGGTGCTTATACAGGCTAGTATTTCTAAAAGCAAACAACTTGTCAGTACCTTCTAGATATGGGACATTTCTCATTTCAGTAGTTCTGATCAAGAGCCAAAGAAAAGGGTCAAAACTATCCTTTCCTCAAGCTGAAACACGAGCATGAGTTCATAAAGTGATTCTGACTCAGACTTGTGTTTGGATCCTACAGCGTGCGGTGAGTGCTTTTTAAAAAGTGTGAGGGTGACCTGGCAGCAGACACACAGAGAAACACCCACCGGCTGTAAAACACCTACGTTGGCAGTTTACTTTCCCAGGTGGACGTAAGCTGCCAGGACGGAGGGAGCGAGGAAGGAGAGAAGGCAGAACCGGCCAGGCCTGCAGGTGCTAACACAGGCAGGGATTGTTCCCTCTGGGGCGGAAGAAGGGGGTGGGGGAAACCGGAAGAGACGTATGCATGCATACTGTAAACATATACACGCACTAACTGAGAGTCCGAGATTACGTCATCCTCCTAGCTTCTTCTTCACACCTAGGCTCTCTGTCTGGGCCGACCCAATCTCACATCCCAACGCCCGGACACCCAGCATTCCTCAGGCCAGTGTGAGAAAAAAGGTCGCCCGGGGATCAGGGGCCAAGCGGAGGCTGAACCATGACAGGCCGGGACAGGCCAGGGAAACCAAACACACAGCAGCACTGTTGTTTTTCTGTGTAAATGCAGACGGTGCAGAGGGCAAATCAGCTGCACATGCCCCTCTACTGACTTACAGTGTGTTTAAGTGTGTGTGGGTCTGTGCCAGTGTGGTAACTCAAATTAAAGAGCCAATGCAAACACAATTAAGAGTCAAACACCCTTCACTGTTTCCTTTTTTTTTTTCCAAAACAAATCTTCCAGCATGTATATGTGTTTTCCCTGCTTATGAAAATAAACAAATCAGATTCTACACGAGGGCCTTTAGCATTCTGTGCAGGCATCATCTGAAAAAGTTGCTTTGAAACACCAGACTAACAATTTAACCCTACTGCAATAACACATTTCGCAAACACATAAAAAGGAAAAAGAGATTCTGAAAAGGAAATATATATTCTTTATGCCACGCGAAAACTGGGCGGAAATGAGTTTTGGCGTTGATGAAATGCCTTATTCACCATAAAGCCAACAGAACACTGGTTTCTTTTTTCCTGCTGGATATTTCTGTCCTCACCGCTCCATTCAGCTCACCTAAAGTTAGTCTGAGAACATCAAGAGAAGGAGGAAAACACTGGGCTGTATTCTCTCCCCCCTCAAACTCCAACCTGCATGCTTGGCCTCAATGGCACTTTGTGTGCAGGTTTGTTGGTGTTCGAATGAGTTAGAGACAAGACTGGGTCCTGTCCCCCAAAGAGGGGGTTCTGCAAGGTATCTACCTAAAAGGTGAATTTATGGGGGTGTGTTGAATGGAACAGGAAACCCTGCCCTGAGTCCTCAGACGCTCCTGGTACATGCATGCAGGCTCTCAGGAGAAAAAGCATGCCTGGCTACTGATGGTGTTTTCCTTCCTCTGACCTGCTGCTGCTCTGTGGAAATGTCCCTCCCTTAATAAATACCTCAATATTGTTGGTGGTGTAACTTTTAGATAGTGCTCCGATGGAATCATGTAGTTACACACACACAATGAAAGAGAGCGTTTGGATAACATTGTCTTTTTATCTTGACGTTTGTAATGACTGCTAAATATAGACATGTGTTTTTTTAATCCTAAAATCCAAATCAGTCAATCAATCGTAATTCCTCCTTTTTTTTATTCTTAGACGATTAAATAAACAGTTTTAAGCCAATTCTCATCAGTGTTTTCTGAAAATAACTTCAATTGGTTTCTATTTAAGCCTATTGAACTTTTGCCTTTTCTTTTTCCCTTACATTATTGGGAAGTTTTCTGCATGTACTCCATGGAAACATTTATCAACTGATCTTAGGCCTTACCCTGGCTGTATTTTTTGTTTTATCTAATCTTCTTTAATGTTACACAAACCCTCAGAATTTATGTTTATTGTTGAAATTCTATGTAGCTACTACATTGGCCAGGTCTTTCTACGTATATTATCGTAATGCAGTGGCGAACTGTCAGGGCCTTCAAGGTATTCAGAGAATACCCTGGAACACGATTTAATTATATAATTAAAATGTATGTAAAATGAATAAATGAGATTCGTATCTGTGTTGTTGATCTGTAATATTACAGTATTACGTTGATTTGTTTGTCCTTCTCGGTCCATGCACTACGCATTTCAGTGGTTTTGTGTTTTGTGTTGGAAAAAAAAAGCAACCAATCCGCGGCGGCGGCGGAGGGTGTGTGTGTGTGTGTCTACAGAAGGTCCAGTTGTGATAGACACGGTTCGCCACTGTCGTTATGTATATAAAGGAGAACAATAGGTATTAGATGTGTTAAAATATAGTGTTTAGCATTTCCACTTTGAATTATGTTGTCAATATCTCTTCCAAAGTAAAAGCTTTTTTCTTTTTGTGTGTGCAAACAGCATTTTTCTGTTGATTGGCACCTATCATCAGAGCCTCTTAGCTCCAACCAATTTAGCAAACACCAAAATATAAGAGTTACACAATAATTACACCCATTACACTGAGAATGTGTTGAGCTGGATTGTTCACACTGGCAATTATGGGATTAAAGGAGACTCACCTGTTTGCAACAAGCCGATTCCACTGTCTGATACTCCGTAATGCCGCTGGATGTCTTGCAGAACACCTGTTAACAGGACGAGAGGCCAAACATAAATGTGGTTTCAAGACATAATAATAATCATTATAACCACTGAGCTCTTTTTGAATTTCGCCTACATTGATTCTGGCTTAATTAAGTCTTTTGTGGTTTGTGATGCATTGGATATGATGGATATAGACAGCACTCAAAGGTTAACATTCACTAAACATCCGTGAAGAGCAATATAGTGTTTCTGATAAGTGCTCTCTTGGCTGCCATACAGAGGTAAAGTTTAAGTAAATTGTTGTAAAGATTTCACCGCTGTGTGTTATATACTAACAGCACACCTACAATTAAACCAGTGGAAGAAATATTCAGACCTTTTACTTAAGTAATTGTAAGAATAACACACTGTAACAATACTCCACTACAAGTAGAAACCTTGCATTCAGATGCTTACTTCGGTAAAAGTGTGTAAGGACTATCAGCAATATGCACTTTAAGTATGGAACGTAAACTTAATTGTGCAGTAAATTGTTTCCCTATTATATATGACTTTTCTTGATTAATATTGATCCTATTTTTTTGGTAAATCTGTTTCCTTTTATATTTTGTTTAAAGTGTTCCTCCCTTGTCTGTTTTTACTCCCAGTGTTTTCCTGCGTTTTTGATTGTCTGCCATTAGTTTCACTTGTTCCCAATCAGCCCTGCTTCACCTGTCCTCCTGCACACCTGCACTTCATCCCCTCATTTGTTACAGCTATGTAGTCCTGGTTTTCTGTTAGTCTACAGTATGCACAACCATTGTATGTCCTGCAATAAGTAGTGTTCTGTTTGCCTTGTTTAACAAGGTCATTTATGTTAAGTTGTACCTGCCTACTGCATTTGGGTCCACCCTGCCCCACTAGCCCTTGAACATATTACTGCTGCATGAATATGTATTTAGCATTTTACTGCTGTACATGATTTTTTAATACCTTTATATACTGTTAGCTGCTTTAATCAACAGCAATGTATCATAGTCATCAAGTGTATCATGTTTGTCCCATAAATAAACACTGCTTCCTTAAGTGTATCACACACAATCACCTTACTACATTTGGAGATACATGACTTTTACTATAAATGAACTAATCTGAAGAGTATCAAAAGCTGTCACACGTGGGAAGTGGGAAAAATGTCAGTAAAGAAAATTAACACATATTCTCACAGACCATGTGTCATGTGCAAAGTTCAGGGGAGTAGCACTTGCAAGCACTGTGACTGGAGTTGGGTTTGTCTTCACGCGATGACACTGCGACCAACTGTTTGAGGTCATTTTTCCTTGCGGCTCTCATAAGTCAAACAGACACAGAGCAGCACCTCAACATTGCTCCACTGTGAGAAACTGCAAAGTCTTTGAAGTCCTGTTAATCCTGTTACTGTAACCCAAGAGCTGGAATGGAGGGAATCCACTCACTGTGCATGTCTTTAATGCCTTAATGAATAAATGAAAGTCAGGACAGCATGTGCACATCTGCTCATCATAACATCACGACTTGTGTGCGTTTAATGTCAGTAGCATGTAAAGTAATAAAATAGTTTTAACATCTCATAAACATCAGAAGAATGGAGATGAAGAAGAAGATCAGAGGGTGATTCATTAGATTTAAAGAAATCTCTTTATGGCTGCCACACCATTTGAAACCCCAGTAAACAAGGAGCAACATAACCCGTGTAATGAATTCTGCTCCTCTTGAGACCACCAACTTTGAAAAGGTTCAAAGTCTTATTTTAGCACTGAAAGGGAAATAAAAAAGTCCAAATGCAACGTGGTGTGCATGGTAGAGCTGGCTGGTTCTGCTCCTGGGGATTGTACCGGCGCTCATGAAAATGGAACAGTAGCATGACTGACATTTTAAAAAGCTGGCAGGCATTAATCTGAGCCCAGCAGAGCAGTGTGACCTAGCATAACCTGACCTCCACACTGGGGCACCTGAGTGATGTAACTTTTAGAAATACCTCATGCATCATGGAGGATGATGAGAAAGAGGAAAGCAGGTTAATGATGTACTCAACATAATATTTGTGATTCTGCCATCCTCAACATTGGAATTGCTTGTGTTATTGTCAATGGTGAGACAGAATGTGGCGGTGCGATGCAGAGGCAGGTGCAGGTTGGACTGTGACTGCAAGCAGATACAGGCGTCAGATTCCTGTCATCTGAGTCAAACCACCTGCCCACATTCTCACACAGCAGGAAGCATTCCTGTTAAAGAGCTAACACTCACACTCTTTGGCTTGTTTCTCTTTTATTAAGGTGCTCCCATGAAGACAGTTTCAGTGAAACCGACAGCACAATGTAAAAAATGAGGAAAATCAGAATTGAATTAGAATTCCTCGGAATCACATAGTTCAGTTTGCTCTACCATCTCGGTGTCTATGTGGGGACTGTGGTTCTTGTTAGCAGCTCTCACAGCAGCAGTCAGAGCATACAGTGTGACAATTATGCAGCAACAGCCTCAAGGCAAGTACATCAATATACAGTCTACAGGAAGATATATCTCAGTTCATATCAAGTCAAAGTTACCATGAATGATACAGATCCTATTTCACATGCATCTCAGGGATTTAGTTTTAGGACTCCAAAGTGATTTGAAGTAAGAATATAGGAGTGTGGGAAGATGTACTCCAATTATTCACTCTAGTTAAAATAGCAATACCACAGTGTACAAACACAGATTGGAGGAATCTAACCAACTTTAAGTAGGAAAAACATATGGTAAAATATAAAATAATAAATATCAGGCTGCCATCTTTAAAAGGCAACTCTGCCCCTTCCCCTGTGAAGCCTGTCAAACAGCGACAACAGTGTACTGTACAACTGCAGCTGTACTACTAATTAGCCAAGAAGAAGTTCACACACACACACACACACACACACACACACACACACACACACACACACACACACACACACACACACACACACACACACACACACACACACACACACACACACACACACACACACAAGACAGAGCCTGCTGGGAGGGGGATTCCAGCACCAGATGGTGGAGCGTCCCTCCTGGACAGAGTGGGCATTTGTCTGAGCCACACCCGTCTACACTTAACACAATCTCCAGACAATTAATTAAGGTAGAGTTGGCAACATTTTGTATTTTCTTAGGAACTGAGTAGATAAACTTAAGCCACTGTTTGATGCATGACTCCGACAAGATAGGATTTATTCAAAACACATGATACATTCAAATTAGAGGTTATGATGATATACATGATCTATTCAAGCAACCAAATGTGTGTACCCTTTGAAATAAGTGTTGGATATCAGATCGTAGCAACAGTGTTATTGGACTCGATTCAAGTGCAATGAGCTGTGTAATGAAGTGTGCTAATCTGTAAGGGATTACAGAGAGCCAGCAACTCTGTGTTTGTGTAGCAGCCTATCCCAACTATCATCTCTGCTCTCACTGAGGCCTTTTAATGCTTGGCAATCAAAGGTGTCTCTTCTTTTGTTTTCTTCTTTTTAGTCAGCCAGTAACTGTATAGTGACTTATTAAGAATCAGAGATTCAGTGATGTATCTGACGATGAGGGACCACAACCTCTGGCCTAGACTGGCAGCGCCCTGTTTAGTTGCCATGGCAATGCTGTACAAGATAAAGGTCAAGAGACCACAAAGAAGCTCAGCGTTCCAAATCTCCAAACTGCCTTTTTTTTGCTTTGACATCCTCATTGCAGTTGCAGCCCACAATGCAACATCTGCTCACATGTTCCTGAATTACACAGGTTACTATAGCCCTAGAAATATAAAAAATAGCACCATAGCAACACTCTAGAACACATTAAAGTGAAATGTTACTGTGGTTGACATGACATTCCAAATATAACGTGACAGATCCATTTAACCATTGTGACTCACTATTTATTTCTTACAGTCATTACGGCATAAAATAACACCTTATATTTGATCAGGCTTTCAATTAAAGTGCTTTTTTTCTACCAGATTGAGCAATTTCTGCAGGTCACCCTTGAAAAAGAGATCTTTTGATCTCAAGGGGCTTCACCTGGTTAAATAAAGGCTACAATTTCTACATGTTTGCCCAATGCGGACACATCACTGCTATTTTAAAGGTTTAATGTACCAAAAATAAAGGCATCAAATGAATCTTTAACTCTGAAAAACATCCTGCTATAATTTCGTTTACACATATATGTTTTCATAAAGAGGGATTATTTTAAAGTGTTGGAATTCTAAAAATGAATGTATTTTTGTCATTATATGAAATGTAGGACTCATGTTCCTAAACCGACTCTATCGACCAGTTTCTGTCATGGCAGTTTTTGATCACAGACCGGTCAGTCTCCTACCAGACGGCTGTTCTAAAGTGATGCACACGGGTTAATTGAACAACGTTAATGGGTTTCTCAAGTCTCGAGCCTCGGGGGGGTCTGCGTGCACCTGAGCGTGACGCAGAGCGAAGAAACACGGCAGGAATGTGGATCTTCCTGACAGCACACAACAATAACACCAGCCACTTCCATCTTCATTTATGGTAACAGCACTCAAGCACAGAGCATAGTCACAGCGGGCAACTCCCTCTGACACACGGTCACTCCCTCAGTGTACCTTAAAGACAACATGATGAACACTGACGGAAAGGCATTTCTTTATAATTCAGACTATGAATAAATGGCTTTCCTGTAAGACTATTGGCTTACAGAATCACTCAAGTTGTAGTATTCTTTGACCTTTCCAGAATTGAATGTGATGCTGAACTGTACACGCTATATGGCTGCAGACAGTTGCTTCGTGAAACTCAACACAGAGAGTTGACACAGAATCGGGGGTCAGCATGTAGCTGACACTTATTCCACTCTCTCATACAGTCCGCCTTTATGACCACTTTTTTCAGAGTAGCTTTTAAGAAGAGCACTCAAATTGGTTTACATGCCACAAACGCTGCTTTTAGAGCAGTGAATGGTGAATGATCATTCTTCAATATGAATAGTACTTTTCTTTCACTCCTTTCCAAAATAAGGCTAT